GCTCATGAATACCTGCAGCCAGCAAGTGTGTGCCATGGGAATGCAGATCTCAAGCACCAAGAGCTCCGTCCTCATAGAAGATGCAGAAATTCCCATATCCAGGGTGGGGATCTCATGGTAACAGTTGCTAGTGCTGGCTCCTGCTCTCAGCCCTTTCTTCAACTGAGCTAAAAGGGCAAATAGATCTTTACTATTCCCTTTGTATGCAAGGAGTTGCTGTAACAACTGCAAGTCTGCAATTATGTGACTGCAAATGGTAATACAGTGCCTAGCAATGTTAAGAAGAGAGCAAGTGATATCTTAAAATGGGCCTATTCTGGAAAAAGGAAAAGAAGAAATCTAAGCATCCTTACGAGCAGATACAAGGAGAAGTTTAGGAAAACTGTGCTGAGGTTTAAATTGTGCTCTTATGTGATCTCATATCATACGTGTCAGCACTGCCTGTTTGCACAGGCAATCGTAACTTGCTGGAACCCACACTCCGAGCAGCTGACTTATAGACAAGGAGACAAGAATGACCTACAGGAAGACTGAGATTGCACCAAGTGCTAAACCTGCAATATGTCTGGTGCCTCAACCACAGCTGAGCCCTCCTTTCTTAAATGTAGCAGTAGCCCTGCTCACAATGCCAAGGAAACCAAGACCCTCCAAAGAAGAGATGCTGCCTAGCTCTTCCCCCACTGTGCCAGAGGTGCCAGCAGCTCCCCAGACAGCCCTTGCAGACTCAGTTTGGTTTTCTCTACACTGAGGACAAACTGAACCTGCACCTGCACCACTTGTCTGGTATTGCAGGTACAGGATGTATATCAGAGCCATCGAGGCTCCTCCATGACTGAGCCCAGCATGACACTATGTACCATATTGGCTGTCTCTTCAGCATTGAGGACATGCACACTGCTGACATTTGTTCCAGGAATATTTTACATTTTCTGTTTCTATTCATGTTTTCTATATGTGAAATAAGTTTCACAAATCTCTATTCAATGCCACCAGTCTTTTTCTTTGAATAATAGCCAAGGCAATAACTGCATGCCTGCAGCAAAGGAGATGCTTGCTTTTTTTGTTGTTGTTGTCGTCACAGTGACTGGATTGATAAGGAATGTTTGTATTTCTAGTTAAACACATCTTTTTACATTTTTATTTAAAAAACATATGGAATTGTTACTTCACAATTATTTCCCATTTGTGATGCAGCAGGGTTTTGAATAGAGTTCATACGATTATTTTACTTCTCTAAACATGTTTTTCTAATTATTATATTCCTTCAGCAAACACACACTTCAATCAAAACTACCTCCTAACAGGGTGGAGTAAAGTGAGAACAGAGAATAAAAAAGTAATATAAAGGTTTCTTTCAGACTAGCAACTGTTGTCTCAGCAGATTGATTAACGCCGATTGAACATATGTTAGACATCAGCCTTTCTGAAATTACTGCAGGGTGACAAGAAGTCATTATAAAAAAATCAAAACAACCCCCTCAACAAGCTACAGAATCCCTATTAAATTTCAGATGAAAAAACAGTTTACAATCTGTTATACTTAGAGTCCTATCAGCAAGAAGAATTAAGAGCTGACCCAAGGGAAAATTAGCAACACAGCTCATCCTTCAAATATGCCTTCTTATATTCTGTTTTACTTTAGATATTCACTTCCATTTCCCAGTCACATTGTCAGTATGTTTAGATACGCACTGCCCTCTGAATTTGAATTCTCTTCTTATAGGTGAACTCTACAGCTTATTAAATCTGCTTCAGCAGCTACTTGTAGCATGATTACAATATTGCTATGACTATATTACTCTTGACACAAACTCTCGAACTGGTTTATTGGAACATGCAATTCTGAAACAGTGCTAAATAGATAAGCCAAGAATCTCAGCTGATGAGATAACATACTTCATTTTGTCCTCGCAGTTAATATACTAGGATCATTGTGTCTAGTAGATTAAACATATTTACTTCTGTAAGAGCATGCTTTTAATATTCCTACTCATACTGTAATTCTTTTATTTACTTTAAGACCAGCATCAAATGATCCCTGCCTGTATTTCTGGAACCTGAAAACTTAAGACTATTTAAGAAGTTTTTGAAGAGTTGGATATTTATCCATCTCCTTAGCGTAGCATTGGTAACACTCCCTAACACTTACGAGAATAGATGGTGCCTATGATTAAGGCATTAAACTAAGAGCCTGGAAATACTGGCTCTACAGGCTTCCCAAACTACCTCTGCAAATCCCTTGTATTTCATAGTGAATTTGACCCCAGCACATAAGGAACACTTTCCTCAGGTAAGAGTTCAGGATACCCACGACATATTACTCATTTCTCTTGTACAGACAACGATTCTTCACATTTCTGAAACACCTCAGTGGAAGGCTGTAAAGCTGAGCTGCTTGAAAGAGGATCTCCAGACAGCATGAATGGGATTGTGTATTACATCAATGCTACAGTGCCTAGTGTTTGCTAATGACTATTTTCCTTTCCCTTTCATCTAGCAAGCTTCAAAAGAGAACAAAACTTGCTGTGCCAGGCTCACACTTGCTGAAAGAGGCAAGTATTTTATGTTAGGAAAACACCCAAAGCCCTAGCCTTTGAGATCAAAGCCTCTTTGGTTGTAGGCACTATATAAGCACATAATGAGAGACAATTCCTGCTTTGTATATAATTAAAATAGAATAGACAGACACAAGGAGAGTAGCGAAAGGAACAGAATTTTCTTGTCTAAAGCCAAATAGCAGATTCAAATGTGGAGCTGAAGACAGGACTTAGACCTTGCCAAAAAATAATGAGGAGGCAAGTATCTTCTGTGGACAGAGCATAAAGGTATTGGTTATTATTTATACTGATGCTTTGCAATTCCTGAAATACATCTTCTGAGAAGTATCAGAAAAGACTATAAGAGAGGTATATTTCTTTCTGTCTCCACAAGATCACTGTAAAGTAGCAGTGGATGCTGGAGAGATGATCTGTGTTTGCATGGTGCCATCTTCCCTTCTGAAACCCAAAGTCTCTCACTTTTCATCCACCCCAGTCACAGTAACCCTCTTATGTGGCAGGAGAGTTGCTCCCACTTAGTTTCTTGTGAAGCCCTGCACTGTTGCAGAACCACTAGCTTGAGACTGAAGGAATCTAAATCAAACCTTTATCAGAAAATAATAAGTGAAAATTAGCCAAACATCCGGCCGCGCAGTGACACAGACATAGCTGAACTGCTGGCACATTCCATCAGACACAATGAATAAACAAACTAATACCAAGAGCACTCAGCAGACTGCAGTCCTCTGCAAAACCAGCTTATTGCTTGGAATGGCAGTTACTCACTTAAATATTAATATCTAAGAGCAGATGAAAAACTTCAAGTATGTTTTTCTAATTATAAACAGAAGGAAAAATATAAACAGAAGGATATTCATTAAGGCACCTGGCTTTACTAGTAGACAAAATTGCGAGTTCACCTCTGGAATCAAGCTAGCTATCAGAAATAAACACAACCCTACCAGTATTTCAAAAGTTACTGATGAGGCTTTCAGCAGAGGAGAACTTCTTAGAACAAAAAGGCAGAATTTAAAATGTATAGAACATATAAAATGTAATATTGTCATCAATAGTTTCTCTCTGCTCCCATGAGTTCACTGAAAATCTCTGGTAAGAAATGAACAATGAAACTTTGAGATAAAAAACTTCCTTGATTTATAATCCCTCTCTGCAAATGCACTTACAGCATTCAAATCATATATTTGTTCTCCAGTGTTGAATGCTCCTTGCTGGGCCAGGATCCAAGTGATTCTGAATGCAACTCTAAGATCACTCACAACGCATATATAAAAGACTTGGGATTTAAGTAAACTTTATAGAACTTCTGTCCAATTTGCCTGGAAAAAAGTAGCTGAGAATTTTTTGAAGTCAGGCAGAAGCTGCAGTGATATTAAAGAAATGCAAATATGATTATCAGAATGTTTGGATTTCCTAATTCAATGCAGGCAAAACAAGAATATGGAGCTAGTGAAAGTAAATTGTCATAAACAAATTAATCCAGTTTCTACAAACCAGGTTTGGCTGATTCCTTCACACTGATACAGTCTCACTCTTTCTCTCTGTCCTCTCTAGCTACTAATTAATGATCATTTAAAATCATTCAATAATACAATTTAATTAGAAAACAAGTCAATTCTAATTTTAGAGACTCTATGTATCTTACTGAAAATCTACAAAAACATTTGTGGCATATTTTTTTGCTTTGCAATAGTTTGAATTTAGAAAGGGCACAAGTGACAATGATGTGGTTATCTCTGAGTCTGAATAAGGTAGAATTCCATACTGTTTTACTGTGTGATGATATAAAAGGGTTCACATCATCTTGTCCATTCCTAGGAAAAATTATTGTTCATAACTGCTAGACCCACACCTTTCTATCTTACTTTGTGATGATCAGGGTATGCACACACACTTTCCAGTTCAACTCGTAACAGCACTTTTTAATTCTGCATAAGCATTTTTTTTCAGATTTTGTCAATCTGTAACTTGAAATTGGAATGATTTCCAATTTCTATTCTAGAATCTATTTAGATCAGGACCAACACATTGGAATTTGGTAGAGCTGTAGGAAACATTATCTGTAAGCAACTCAAACAAATTAAAACTAACATATAAGGTTACAGAGAAAGAGTGACAGATTCTTAATTACGCCACAGCCATTTAGCATTCTCTAGCAGGTACAGGAATTCTTGAACAGAAAATGCATTAGGAAATTATTAAAAATTAAATTCACACCGACTTTCATATCCCTTCATGTTGTCAGCCTGATTCAAAATAACCTTTGAAATAATGAATATCAGGTTCTTCCTTTTAAAAAGTCCTTTTAGTCATCATGCACTATACCACGCTACAGGATTTACCTGCAAGGGCTGTTTTTTATCTGCAGAAACACATTAATTACAGAGAGAAAGGGAGAGACAGAAAAATAATTAAAACATAACAGAAACAGAGAAACGGACCTACCTCGTTTAGCTCTTTGAAAGGAAGTGCACTGTAAATCAGGGACGTGAGAGCTGCAGCGGAGGAAAGAGCGAAGTGATCTGCAAAGTTCAGAGCGCCTTCAGTGTGATTCCAGCTGCTTCACTTGGCTACTGCCTTCCTTCTAATAAAGCTGCAGAATGATATAACACAGTGTTTGTTTTCAGCTGTGAGGAAGTTGTTTCCAACTTCCCTTGGTTTTCTAGATCCAGTTTTGAAATATTGCCTTTCTTTATAATCCGAGTATTTCACCAAAAATAAATGTTAGACATCTGAATGAATCATTTTGGTCAGTGTCCAAGCAAGCAGCAGATGTGGTAGCTGATGAATGGAAATGGACATTACATTCACAGGCTGTTTTTCTCTTATGCAGAAAAAAGGGTTGAACAGTACTTCTTTGTCGGTGTGAACCTTGGTTTACAGAAAATAACATTCAATGAGCAGAAAGATGCTTAAAAATCACACTGAACGTATCATTTTGGAGCTGTACAATGTGTTACATTATACCTTTATTTTGTATTTGGGTCTAGGAGATCCATCTCATTTTGAATCTAAGAGACAGCTGAGCTCCTCAAAGCACCAGCTATTAGTCCCTCAGGCAATGCCAGAGATTTGAACTGTCTTTTAGGAGCATTAGCCTGATCCGCACTTCTGTGAGAGCCTGCTAATTGCAGCCAGGCCTCATCACTTCCCTGAACCTAAGTTTCTCAGTCTGTAAAGTGGAAAATTATTCCTCTACCACAGTTTCACCTGACTGTGGCAGTACTGGGCCCTTCTGGAAACAAGCTGAGAAGCTATCAGCCTACTCTTACCAAAACAGCTGACTCCTGTAATAGAAGCAGCAATAGAACAACCAGGGGTACTCCTCTGTTGTTAATGCAAAGCACGCAACACCTTCAACACTGTTGGAATCAAATCCATATTTCTTAGATATCAATGCTACCATTCCCAGTGGGAAAAAAAAATAAACAAAAATAAACAAAAACAGCAGACAATGCTACCATTCCCAGTGGGAAAAAAAAAAAAAACAAAAATAAACAAAAACAGCAGACGGAAGTGCTTAGTAAGAAGTGGCAATGCTCACACTTCAACATCTGGTTAGCAAGACTATGAGTTTTAGGCACTTCTGCTATGCTTCAGAAATCACAGACCCTCTTACCAAGAGAAAATAACTCCTTCCTGCAAAACTGGCCTGCTTTTCTTCTCCCAGTACAGCTTAAAAAATTGGTCACTTGCATTAAGAAAATAAAAAGTTATGAATGAAATAGGGTAGAGATTATGTTACCGTGGGACACAAAGACCTTGCACAGAAGGAAAGGGGTGGCGGGGTATGATTGCCGAGAATTCATGAAATAGGAGGCAGCAATTCTGTCTCTGGGAAATGAAGGAAGGTCCTGAGTCACTGGCACAGCTCCTACCTATGGAAAGAATAATCTGGGGCAAATCTTGAAAATCTTGCTGGTCTGGTTCCTTTTGACCTACAGCAGTGAATTAGCAGAGGATTTGCCTCTGGAAAAAATACAGAAAGACTCAAAGATCTCATGATTTGACACCTCATTTATATGTTCCTTGCTACTTAAAGATTTCCTCTTCTCTCCAGTTAAGAGATAGGTGAACCTTTGCTGAGAAAAAGCTCTTTTAACAGCACTTAAATATTGGGATAGGATAAATACAGGCCTGTTGCAGAGCCAATCTGTCAAGTCTGTTGCTTGCAATGGCACATGAACCTGTGTCTCCAGGTACTTTGCCAAATCCAGTTATTGTTGTACAGTTAATTCCAGGGCTTGTTAAGTACTATTTCGGTAGGACAAAGAGGAAATTATGGGGTAAAATAACCTCCACACACTGTGTGCTGTAAAAGGAAAACCTCAGCAAGTATGCCATTTGCTTTTCCCGTCAGTGCAGAGTGCAATCTGGAGTGTGCAATGCGTCCTGGCAGTTCCAAGGCCATGAGGAATTGTCCTTAAGGGGCTGTTTCCTTCACCATAACCTACAGCAGACATGTGACTGCTCTAAAAAGTACTGGGATTATAGTCCAACTTCATCCAGAAGCAAGGGAGTATTAAAACTTCACACAGCAATTTTTCTCGCCCTTCCTGCCACTGTGCCAAATATGAAATCACAACAGCTAAGGATCCAGAGACATTTTGTGAAGACAAAAATCTCCATAGAAACTGAGCTCCCCACCCCCAGAAAAGTATATTTAATGATTTTTTCTTCATTTTATGTTCAGAACTAAATACAGCATTTTATTCTTCTATGGTTTTGATCAACTGCAGTGGGAGTCTTAAATCCCTGAAGGAGGAAAGGATGGGCCCTAAACGTTTCCTTATTTGTATCTATGATCAGGCATAGTAAAAACTGGAATGGTTATTACAAAACCGAATTACACAGCTTTTCAATAAATGCTTTCATGCAACCCATTAATCATCACTACCATTTCACCAGTGTCATTTTTTCAGGCAATTTGGTAAAAGTTACATGATTGGAACAAAGTTATTTGGAAAAAAAAGAACTCTCTGGTTTGCTTTCATGTCTTCTTTTTTTTTGTTTGGAAGTTGTGCTTTTATTTTGTCATGGCATTTTGTTTTCTCAATGGGGTTAGTTAACGAGGTTTTGGGGTTTTTACTCCGCATCAGCGTGTGACAGTATGCTAAAGTTATTCTGAAGTGGGACATGCATTCATGAGCATAGAGTGCATGTAGAACTTGCTGAGAGCAGAAACACTGATTTATACCTGTTGGAAAAAAGAACAGAGAGTATTTTCATGCAGATTATAGGTTTTGGTTTTCCAGAGGACTATGGAAACAAAGATATTAAGGAGAAGCTTTCATAAAGAGATATTTTACTAGCATGAACTAATGCATATCATCACAAACAAAACAAAAATAGTTTTATTTCACTAGGATTACAAACAACTGCCTGATAATTCTGATAATTATTTCCCATTGCTGGGACCACTGAATGTTACGAAGCTGCCTATTAGTATGTATAGATACTCAGATAATCCCCGCATTAAAGAACACCCCAGACTAAATTCAATAGATATTAATTCAATTATCATGCATCAACCATGAATATGTAGATTAAGTCAACAACAAAGATATTTAGCATTTCCCCGAGTTAATTTAATCCAAGAAACGGAATAAATTCGTTATGAAATCACTTACTTGTTTTGAGGATTCAGCTGTTTACAGTTCTGTTTTTAAAATTCTTCCCTGTTCCTTTTTCATCACTGTTTGAATTAGCACCTCATCGATTAATACCCCTGCAGGAAAGACAAGAGTTTAGCTACCCAGCAATCAGGAAAAGAGTAATTTCCTCCCTTCCTGTGAAACTAATGGCTACTTCACACCTATCCTTTCATCCTTTCAGTAAAGCTGTAATGTTTGCTTGTGGCTTAACTGCCCGCTATATGCACTGTGCAACTATGTCATAGTCAGCAACTATGACTGACGACAGTCTCCAGAGACAAGTTTAACCCAAACCATATGATGAAGGGAGATTTTGCCCTTTTAGCCAGGTCCACATCCCCATTCTACCCAGATATTAGAAATCTGATGATTCTTCTGCTTAGTAAATGGAAGAAATGCAGTTCTTTACAAGGCAAGATCCCTCATCTACGACTTTTGTTAGATGAACACGCACAGGCACATAAATCAAAATCTACATGTATGCGGGAATGTGAATATAAATATATAAATCTGCTTATGGATACACATACAAGTTTGAGCAGGATGTATCAAGGCAGCATTGTGTGTAATTTCTACAAACAAAATGAAAAGGCTGTTGCAGTCTATAAAATCATGATGCAAAAAATGCAAATGATACCTTGTGTGATATCTGGAAAACATTCTTGTGAGAAATTTCCCATAGCTTGTACTTTCATACGTGTGATTTTTTTTTCCTTTTTCTATAAATAACCAGTTTTGCTATGCAACTTGCAGACCACAACTATTCAAATTCCGTATTCATATAACAACAATATAATATGTTGAAATTATACTTGCTACTCAAATGATAACTGAAAAGCAAGGAATTTTTGAAACATGCCTTAACAATGAACTTTCTGATATGTCTTTGAGTGCTAAAGATTAGCTATTATTAATCAGTGACTGTAACTACACACACTCACAAGACCTAGCAACATTTTTTTTTCCATTTTAGCCAAAGATCTGTGTTCTCCAATTAAAAAACACCACCACCACCACCACCACCACCACCATAGGGTAAACTTATCATTTTTAGGTTTGTATGAATCATCAGGAACTAATACAGACACTTCTCTAGGTTCTTTAAAGGCTTGAGGAGACAAGTCTAAGTTTACCATTATGCATGTAGTTGCCCTATGTGGCAACGTGGATTGAGTCAGATGTCTGGGCCTGCCCAAAGCCTTTCCAAACCAGGTTCTCAGAAACCCCAAGTACAGAGATGAACCTGAGCCACTAGTCTTTTAGCTGGCTACAATTTTAACTGCTTCCATTCACTTGGGATCCAAGTCAGCAGCAAAGTTTCCTACACTTGTTCTTTCGAAGAGATGAAATCTTATTTTCCTTTCAAAATGTATCTGTGGAGATGCAGCAGTCATCCTTTCATCCTTTTTTTTTTTAATGTAACATGTCTTTGGTTAAAATCCAGAGGCTGACTGGGGTTATATGATGAGACAGGACTCAGTGAGCCCCTGGAGGGTTGGACACTGCAGATTCATGTTCTGTGTTCATCTATTCACAATTCACAATTGACAAGGACAAGTTGCTTGACAGAAACAGTGCAGAAAACAGATTCCCAGTTAGGAGAAGATTAAGCTCTGATTCTTTAGTACTCCACAGTTGTCACTGCTCTGTTACCCTATACAGAGAAAATTACTCTCACCTTCAGTGCTGGCTGTGACAGAGCTGCTCCTAAGCACTATCAAATGGCAAACAGGGCACTGAAGAGGAGTTCTAAAGACCAGCAAAAGCTGCTATTTGGTACAAAATCAAGGACAGCTCCCTACAAATGCATGAATAGGCAGATGATTGAGCAAAGTTTCTGCTTTGCAGTATTACTATTCAAAATCTAAACTATAAGAAACATCTATGCACATATGGAATCATGCAGCTGTATGGTACTCTTTATAATACTGTCCAGCAACTGACACTGCTCAGTTCATGAGATGCGAAGGCTCTAAACTGAACTGTAGCTTTTTGCACATAAATGAAGAATGGTTCTTTCCACCAGTACAAATCAAATCCAAGTCAAGCTCAATCAGCTATGGATGCTCTGAAAAAGCTGTGGTTGGTGGTTTCAGCACATATTCATTTGTATTTTTAAAGTTGCTTTTTATAGCCAGCAACATTTGTTACTCTGTTTTTATGCTTGCTGCATGTAAACAAACTTTGTGAAAGGTTCCAGGCAACCTGGACTACACAGAGACTTTTTTATCCATAGAAGTGAATTTGAGACAAAGAGCAGCAGCGCAAGCTTCTGCCCGGTGCTTTTGCAAAGCGTGCATTTGCCTCTCTCCTCTGATCACTCTCAAGGAAGTGAGTATAGTTCTGTTGCAAAAGCTTACCCAGCTCTTGGCCCCTCTGATGAGATGGGCACTGATTCATCCCAATAAATGTTACTTGTGATAAAGGTCAAACAAATTACTAGCTCTGAAAAACAACTTTTCTGATTAAGAGCTCAGTCCTCTCTCTGAAGTCAACACTAACTTTCCCATTGACTTCAGTAAAAGCAAAATTAGCATTGTCCCTAGTAAACTGTCTAAGCGAAGAAAACATGGGAAATCAGTCTAAAAAAACTCAGTTATTCAGCTAAAACACTAACACTTATTTTTTTCTTCTAGTTTTATTCCTTACATCATATCAAGTAACACAAAGGTTAATATAACTCCTTTTGGCTTTTGTTTTAGGTTTCATGCTTCAAATTCAGCACTTAACGGGAGCATAGAAGCAGGATTTACATAGGTGTAGAGACTAGAAATGAAACATTTTCTGTAAAGGCTATTTAAGCGGCTGTTTGTCTTGAGGACATATTACCAATCTTCTACAGAGATGAAAAATATATTCCAGTCTTTGAAGATGACATTATTGAAATTGTTTGAGGAAGAGAAAGTAATCTATAAAATGCTTAGAGTTCTAGAGCTTGAATATCAGCACTTCAAGTATAAACAAAGCTAATATTGACTGGCTATGAGAAACAGAGTTGGGCACAATATGGCTCAGATGTGTCTGCCTGAATATTGTGCTGCAAGAGAATTTCTATGCTGTGTGTCAGTCTTATCACTCAAGTTTCCAGGAAAAAAAAAAGCCAAAAGAGACAGCAGCATAGTGTTTTTCTCAGTTTCATTAATATGCTTGCTCCCTATTGCTTCACATGACTTAAGGCCAGCAGCCATATAGCTTTAAAACTTTCTGGGGAAAAATGAAAGACCACGACTATTTCATTCTTTGTGAGCTGGATGCTAAACGCATGTAGGGTCTCCACTTTTCTTGGAAAGCATGATGAAATCACTGGCATGTTTAACTTACATAGGTGAACAACCATTAAAGAGTAATTTTAGCTCACAGTATGCTCAGGTCAAATTTGAGATAACAATCAGCTATCAAAGGGCCTCGTATTCCAGAATCGGTCCTTGAGAATACTTTGGATCGACCAAACAATGCAGCAAGAAAAAAAATATTTTTTGCCCATTCATTTTTTAGGTGTCGGAACACTGAAACTCTGAAAACACAGACCATCCTATGAAGTGGAAGAGGCTTATGGTTTTATTGGTGGACCAGAAAACAAAGACACTAACCTCCGATCCAAAGAAATCCTACAGTTCTAGTAATGGTATGTGAAATGCTGAAGAAACACAAACGGCCTTTTGTTCAGAAGTTTTTTTTTTCTCTCTCTTTCCTCTTGTATTTTCAAATTTGTCCCATGAAAAAGGTTCTATATTTTCAAATCTGTCAGAAAGAGTTTTCTTACAAAGGCTTATGTTTTGGCTTATCACATTTTTAGCCTAAAACTTTTTCCTTGGAGAAAAACACAGCTTCTCTATTCCACCTTGTCTCTTGTTTTTTTTTTTTTTTTTTTCCTGAATGGGATAAAGAAATCTTTCTTTAAGTTATTCCCAAGGTAAAGCAAGGTAAAGTGTCTGCTTGGTTTCAGATGTAGGAAAATAATTATGTGGTTTATTGTGGGAACATAAAAAAAATCCAGTATAATCTACAACAGCCAATGTGGAAGAAAAGACGGCTTACTTAACTACCTTGGGAACAAATCCTGACCCCACCTTAAACTGACAACAGAACATCCACTCACTCAACGTAACACTTCATATATATTCAGAACTCCCTGACTCTTACAAACTGCAGAAAAGGAAGTTGAAGAAGTATCTTATATTCGAGGTCACGTTAAATTCATCTGAAACCTTTTAAAAGTCAAGCAGTTTTACTGAAGACGATAAACATTTAATTCAGAATTTTCCAAGGGGTCAAGGAAGATACTCAACTTTAGGAAGCTTAAAAATTGCAAAATTCTTGAAACACATAATTAGTAATTTCCTAAGCAGCTCTGAGAAAATAACCTTTCTGTACCAGAAATACATTATTTCTTGTCTGAATAGTGGGAATTAATATTTACTTCTGAGAAAATGCCTTGACATTCCAACTATGATAGACAGTGAGGTAGAAGAGAATAATAATCATATGCTGTTCTTATTTAAAATGGTTTAAGATTCTGACAGCAGCATCTCCTATAAAGTCAGCACTAATTTTGCACCATATTTAGACTAGGAAAAAGAAAGGTTGAAAACACACCAATTAAAACATTTTGCCACGCAGATCAAAACATTTCCATTCTAAATCTGCTCAATTTCTGTTACCTGACTCTGGTTAATGCTCATACGCATCGGTCTATCAATCTCCCTTGTAGTTGAAGGCTCTCATGTTTTAGACTTTCTTCAGCATGGGGAAATGGAGTTCCTTTTAAGTTAACTAATTTCCACTGCATTTTACAGCACATATATATCACAAATATGTGCTTCCTTCTGTTAGTAATTTGGAAATAAAAAGTTGCATTTGAAGGTTCCACAGGTTCTGAATATTTAATCTGGCTATATCAGATGACTATTTTAAATTCTGTATTATTTTTGAAAATAAATATGCAGCAAAAGCACACAGCTGAGAAATTCTCAGGGACTATTATTTTTGATCCCAAAAATAACTTAGTGCATAAGATGAAGGTCAAAGAATATCCTCCAATTTATGTCCAGTCACCTATGGACAACCCTATCTACTACCTGGTCTAGTCTTTTTATTTGGGCCAGCTCTGTAAGGACATTGGTATAGTTTCTGAGAGA